GGAGGACAGGCCACAGCCTCTCCTCTGTGGAACTGGGGGGTGGCCTAAGGTGGGGGGTCATATGCTCTCTGCTCTCTCCGCTCTGCGAGGAGCTCACCCCTTCCACTCTCAGCCCCACGGACAGGCTGGCCGCGGGAAAGGTGCACGGGTGTGCAGGGCCCCCCTCCCCCGCCCAGGGTAGGCGCTCTCGGGCGCTCAGTAACCACTGAACAACAGGGAGCAGCGGCAGGCGGGGCCTGAGCCGCACCAGCGGGGACAGTTCCTGCAGAGTCTTCATTCTGCCGGTCTGGCATCTCTGGAGACAGAAGGGGCCCAGATGGAAGCGACTTTGAGAGCCCTCGCCCACCCCAGCACCACCTCAGCGACCTGGGGCCCTGGGCACGGGTTCCACGTGGCACTTCTCCGAGAACCAGCTCCGGAACCCAACTCCCACCGGACCCCGGGCCCCTGCAGCTCTGGGTCTGACACCAAGAGTCACCGATCCCCGGGAAGACAATGCTTCGCTCCCAAGGCCATGAGCACCTGTGATCACCCTCCGGTCTCCTGCCAGACGCCATTCGCGCCTTTCCCGGCTCGGTGCCCTCGCCATGCCTCCTCCTCATCCTGGAATGGAGTGACCTTTGCCCCTGTTGGTCCTTGTTGTCCGAATCCTTCAAGTCCTACTGGCGGCTGCTACGTTTGTGGAGCTTCTCTTGACCCCCAAGTTAAAGTTGGTTACTCCGTCCGATTCTCTTTGTACCCCTTCTTCAGAGTGTTTGCAGGCACTTGCCGCCTCGCGCGTTTGAGCTGTTTTGGGCATATGTGTATCTCCTCTTCAGGATTCTAAATTCCCTGAGAACAGCAACTTCACTCTACTCCTCCTACACCTGCAGTACCCGAAACTAGTGGTGCTGCTTGTTGACACGTATTTGGTGCCAAGTACAGCGGTGGCTGCTGCTGATGCCCCATTTAGCCCTCACCGACGGTGAGAGGCTGTCAGGCGGAACCGGGGCTTACAGAGACCGCGGTTCAGGACCCGCGGCTACCCAGGGCAGGGCTTGGATTTGAACCCAGGTCCCCCTGGTTCTAAAGTCCATGCTCTGGAGCCAGGGATCCTATAGGCCTACGTAGTGAGCGCATGAGATCCTGTCAGTGACCGTTGGAGACCGTGGGGTCACCGCGCGGACGTGCCCAGGCGGAGCACGGAGTGACACTAGGGTGCCCTTTACAATGCATGCCTCTGACATAGTATTCACTGCCTTCTTTCCACTTGGCCAGAGTGGGGCCAAGGCCAGTTTGCCTCCCGAGAGGCCATTCGAGGTGCCGTCTGACAAGGGGCACTACCGGCCAGTGCTCCCCCCACCCCCCGCGTGTGGTGGGTGCATCGAGGCTGGTCTTGAAGTCGGCCTTGCAATGGCCGGCCCTCCTGCGCTCGGCCCTGCACGTGGGCGCGGGGAGGGTGGCGGTGGGTGTGGGGGACGGACTGAGGGGTGTCTAGGGATGGCTTTCCCTGGCAACCCCATGGGTGACTCACATGCCGGGTCCTGAAGATCCCTCCCCATCCACCTCTGCCCTTTCAACTGAGGCAAGAGGTGGGGGGAGGGGGAAGGTTGAGGGAGAGTGAAGGGGGAAGAGGCCCGCAGGCAGGGGAGGATGTGCAGGGGGAGGGGCTGCGGGCGAAGTCCCTGGAGCCGAGGGCCTGCGCAAGGCCATGGAAGGCAGCACGGCAGTGCCCGGGGCCAGGAGCCCACATGCCCATCCCGCCAGCACTGCCCCATTGTCACAGGAGCATCTGCGGCAGCGGGGGCTGCGTGGCCTTGCTCAGGCTGCAGAAGGGCAGCCAGGCCCCCACCCCTGTCGGAGGCCTGCCCGGCTCAGCCAGCACAGGGCCTGCCTCAGGCCTTGGAGCCTGGCCCTGCCTCCTCCACTCCTGCTGGCTTCGTGGTGGTCCAGAGGCCCCCAGCATGGGAAGGCGGGAGAAACCCATCACCTCAGCCTGTAAGTCAGGCACAGGCATATTTAGAGGATGTGTGCGAAGAGGGGGGCTGGACTGGAAGGGGGTGTTGGTGACAGAGCAAAGGTGTGAGGGAGGCAGCCCAAGGTGCAGTCTGTGTGAGGGTTTGGCGCTCCGATGTGCTGAGGGCATGTGAGGCCCAGAGGGTCCTGCGAGGGGCAGGCGGGGAGCTGGGTGCAGAGGGACCCAACGCCTGTGTCGTGTGAGTGAGGGGAGGGGAGCAGGAAAGCGTGTCCACAGGGGCGTGGGAGCTGGAGCGGACACAGGAAAGGGGTGTGTGCATCACGGTGGGAGGCACTGAAATGAGGACAAGGAGGAGGAGGAGGAGAGGGACCGAGGTGCAGATTTGCCCCTAAGTGAGAGGGTCTGACACTCCCGTGGGAAGAGTGGGCCAGAGATGAATACCTCTGTGAGTGTGAGTGTGTGTGAGTGAGTGTGTGAGTGTGTGTGACTGTGAGTGTGTGAATGAGTGTGAGTGAGTGTGTGTGTGTTTATGTGTGAGTGTGAGTGAATGAGTGTGTGAATGTGTATGTGTCTGAGTGTTTATGATTGTGAGTGTATGAGAGTGTGTGAGTGTGTGTGAGTGTGTGTGTGTGTGTGTGTGAGTGAGTGTGTGTGTGAGTGATGTGCATGAGTGTGTGTGTGTGAGTGTGTGTATGAGTGGTGTGCATGTGTGCATGTGTATTTGATTGCCCATGCGCATGATGCTGCCCTGATTTATAAAATGTGTTTTCTCCAAACACCTCAGCATATTTTACAGCTGCTGCCTGGTTGGGAAAGTGAGGACAGAATGGAAAAATTCAGGCCCTGAGGGCCCCATGCCGTGGGGGACAGCTGCTGTGGACTGGGTGTCCTCATGCACAGTCCGCCCCCAGGCCCCTGTACCGCCTGTCCCCTGGACCCCACATCCCCTCACCTCCGTAGAGAAACCACGGACCACAGAGCCATGGCCACACCAGGTCAGTGGAAATCCCAAACTTGGAGAAAAGCAGCAAAGACCCTCCCTCCCCCAAAGTCCGAGCATCTGGGCTCATCTCTCCTGCTGACATTGGGGAGACAATGATCTCATACCAAGGAAGGTTCCAGAAGCATCTGCTACTCCTCGTCCTCACACAGCAGAATCAGCCAAGCTCTCCCTGGCCGAGAGGTGACAATGACTGCCTGGTTTTATTAAGGACCGAGTGCTTCTTGATGGTGTGAGGGGAATGGCTCCTGCTGCCCCAGCCCCCAGCCCCCATCCTCCGGCCCCCAGATCCCAGCATGGACCGCTGGCTTCCCCATCTGCAGAGCTGAGAGCGGGTTTTGGCGAGCGATAAAGAAGCTGTGATTCTTATAGGAGGGCACCCTGGGAGAGGCGAACAGACACCCCCCACCAGGCTCTGCTCCCAGCAGCCTCTCCTGTGCCTACCCTGGGGACTGCATTAAGAATAACAAAACTGGCAGCCACATCTTGGTTGGCCTCCTGGGTGCCAGTACCACCTGGTTGCTTTACACCTGCCATCAGACTTCAGTCTTAACAAAGAGCATGCCAGGGAAGTGCCCGTAGGATTCCTTCTGTATGTCAGGAAGACGAAGAACAGAGAGGCCCGGCAAACTCATCAAGGCCACAGGAGCCCAGATTCACGCGGGGTCGGTCAGACTCTAAAAGTCAGCCTATCCCACTGTCCTCCATGACCTGCGGTCCATACCCTGACCTACAGCCCATAGACACTGTCGTTATGGCAGGATTCCTGGTCCTCATGGCAGGATTCCTGGTCCTTACGGCAGGATTCCCGGGGCCCATTATGCAGACCCCTGGGAGTGTGCAGAGGTAGATCACACATAGGAATGTGTGTCTGTGACACCAGGTACATGCATATTCTGGGGTGCCACGGCCGGCAAGATGGGCTCGGTGCCTGGGGCCTAGAAGCCACTGATGCAGCACCAAATGGCAATGTGTTTTAATGCTTCCAGCTTTTCTGGCGCACCTCCCCGTTTCTGCCCTCAGTTCCCATGCTGTTCACCCCCATGTTATAGGTTAGGGGGTCTGAGGAACCTCTCCACAGGGAGGGCACTTCAGGGCCTGGATCTGAAGTCAGGACCCAGGTTTTCTCCTACCTTGTATATACGGGGTCCTCCTTCCTAAGTTACAGGTTACACTCAAGCAGGTGTAAGTCACGCAACAAAAATGAGGTGCTCCAATTCACCATAGCTTAGATCTGGAAACAGCCTGAGTGCCCATCAGTAGATGAATGGATTAGAAAACTGGTACATCTACACGATGGAATACTATGCTGCTCTAAAAAGGAAGGAACTCTTACCATTTGCAACTTGTATGCATGCATATAAGCATAACCAATGGACATAAGACACAGGGGGATAGAGGAGGCTAGGGGACTGTCTAGGGCGAGGGGAAGAATGGACACATATGTAATACCCTTTGTAATAAAAAATTAAAAAAAAAATAAAGTTAGAAATATCAAAAAAAAATGAGGTGCTCAATGTGACTATTCAGATAGAATTGCAACCTGCAGATGAAAGTCAACGAGAAATCCCACGTCCCATGAGCACATCAGGAGTGTATTGGGACTGACCTGTGGTGAGCGGGGCCTTTCGGGGTCAGGCCCCTGCTTTCAATGCTCCTCCCCCCACACCCTGATTTTTAGAGAGAGTGTAAGAGAGAGGGAAAGACAGAGAGAAACATCAATGTGAAAGAAACACATCAATTGGTTGTCCCTGATCAGGGCCTGGGCTGGGGAGGAACCTGCAACTGAGGTGTGTGCCCTTGACTGGAATCGAACCAGGGACCCTTCAGTCCGCAGGCCGATGCTCTATCCACTGAGCCAAACCGGCTAGGGCATGACAGTGCTTTTGAATCCCCATCCAAGTGTCCCAGCCCAGATCCGACTAGGAATCCTCCGGCCTCCCCTTCACACATGAACCAATGGAACCCACGAGGAGGCACGTGGGTGCAGAGTGGGCCCTGGCCGTGTCCAGGGTGCCAGGAGGGCCCGGGGGCAGGACTCACTCTTGACGGTGAGGAACATGGACTTGCTGATGTCGGTGCCCACGCCGTTGCTGGCCTGGCAGAGGTAGTAGCCCATGTCCTCCTCCAGGACGTGGCGGATCAGCAGCGAGCTGTTGGCTAGGACCTGGATGCGGCCAGTGAGGGGCACTGGGTGGTACTGCTGGGGGCTCCCGCTCCCTGGAAGGAGGCAAAGGTTAGAAGAGCTGCTGTCTGGGCTGGGGGTGAGCTGGGTGGATGGGAGTGTCCCAGGGAGTGCCCACTGCCTTTCTCCTGAAAATCCAAGGCCATTATGTGGCATGCCCACACCGATCCTGTTTCCTGGGCCACAGGAGGGACCCTCACAGATCTGGGCCTGCTGGCTTGGAGTGAGGAGGTGGAGTTGGCATGCCCAGGTGGCACTGAGCTTGTGTGGGGTGAATTCCTCAAAGAGGAAGAAAGAGTTGTCTTCAGGCCACTTGGCAACAGGCAACGGGAAGACTGAGCCATCAGATGGCAGTTTTGTGGTCCTGGGCAGCCACGCCCAGGAAGGAAGCCCGCCATCCTCCAAGGGGGGCTTTGGGCGCCACCCCCTCCCAGGGTCAGCCCTAGACATGGTCTAGGTAAGAGGTTGGCGTGGGGCTTAGTCAGATACGAGATGCATCCTTGGCGTGAAGTTGGGCTCCAAGATCCCAGATCCCAGAATAACTGGTGAGGAGCAGGGGCTGATGAGGCTTGGGGGCCCCAGAGCAGAGGGTGGGGGCATGTGGAAGTGGGGAGAACAGAGTGCCCTGAGTTCTAGGGCTGGAGGGGACAAAAGGACATTTGGGGTCAGCGTGATAGCTGTTGCCAGCCCACAGGCTCCTGGATGCCTCCAGACTGGGTGTGGCCTGGGGTCCCATGGGGCTCAGAACCCAGGGCTCCCACCCCGGCCTAGGGATGCGTGGGAACCAGGCCTGAGTCTCCCCAGCGTCCTCCCTCCCTCTCCCTGGCTACTCAGAGTCGCTGGTTGGCCAGGGGCTTACCCTTGGCGTGCTTCCACATGACCTTGGGTGGCGGGTAGCCGTCCACCGAGCAGTTGAGCACACCAGCTTTGCCATAGATGCCGTCCTGGTTGTTGGGCTGCACCACGAACCGAGGGGGCACTGCAGAAGGAGGGAAGGCAGGAGAAAACGAGCACCTCAGTCTCTGATAGGTCTCCTGGGCCAGGCACCTGCCATTCAATGTCAGTCCCGCTGGACTGTTCTAAACCGGAGCTCCCGGGAGCTCCTGCTGGGGCCGGTTGGAGCTGGGGGCTCTGAGCTCCAGTTCTGACTTTGCCAGTGGCTAACTGGGCAAGCGTCTTCCTCTCACCGGGCCTCCGTGTCCTGGCCTGGAAAGTAAGAGGTCTGAACCTCTTGATCTTTAAGGCATCTGCCAGAGCCAGTCTTCCCTAAGCCTGGGATTTAAACCTGGACCGAGAGACTTCGAGCCCCAGACAGAGCTGGACTCCCCCCGCCCTCACCGGCCTGTTCCCACGCACCGCGCACGACGAGCTGGCGCTCCCGGCTCACGGTGGCTGCCGCGTTGCTGGCGATGCACGTGTAGTTGCCGTTATGCTTGAGGGAGACGCTGGAGATCTGCAGGGAGCTCATGAACTCCTTGCTCTCGATGGTCACGCCGGAGCCTGAGATGATCACCTGCCCGTCCTTCCTCCAGGTGATGCGGATGGGCATGTCCCCCGAGGACACCACGCAGGGGATGTAGAGCAGCTGGCCGATGGAGGCAGGTGGGAACTCGAAGGGCTGGATCAGAGGGGGCACTGGGAGGGAAGGGGACGCTGCTGTCAGCCCCGTCCCAGCCCAGCCAGGCGCACCGCCTCCCCTGCCTCCCCCTCGGGCTCCTCCCCACCCAGCGCGGGCCTGTCTGGAGCCTGAGCTGCGGTGGGGGGGATCCTCCTTTTTCAGCTCTGGCTGGAGCATCAGCCATTATCTCTATGACAACTCAATGAGGCCACAGCAACTTCCCCGGCAAGTGGGGGCAGAAGGGAGAGGAGGAGACCTTTCTGCGGCCCCATGATTACAGGCTGGTTCTCCCAGGAGCCGCTCCACCCTGCTGGGAGCCTGCTCTCTGCCCCAGCCCCACCCTGAGCGGGAAGGAGTGGCTTCCTGTACACGCCTCAGATGCTCCCGCACCCCAGGAAGTGGCCAGGTGGACGTGGTCACACCTTGGCAGCCCCGTGGATGCTGGGAAAGGTCTTGGTCAGGAGCTCTAGGTCCAGAGAGGTGACATTTAGGAGGGATATTGTCTGCATGACCTATCGGGCAAGAGCCATACCCCTCAGCAGGGCCCTTACCCACCTTCCCAACGTCATCTCCCACCTCACCCTTCACTCCATCACCAGCGCCCCAGCCCCACGCCGCAGGCCGGGCCGGGGGCGCCTGAGCGAACACAGCTGGGCATCTGTCCTCTTCACCCCCAACCATGTGTGGCCAGCCCAGTGGCTGCTGACCCATCTCATTCCTGACCCGCCCAAGTCCGGGTCCACGTCTGTCAGGTGTTCTGGGACTCTGGCCATTTCCTGGACCTCTCCACCCCCAGCCATGGCTGCCTCTGCTCTTCGGGTTGGAGCCTTCCCAGTATTCTGGGTGGTTTGCTGGGTCTTGGATATCCAGACGGATTTTTCTGGAACCCTGACTCTAGTAATGGCCAAGTGCCCCTTGCTCAGACGCCCAGAGGTTCCTCTGTGGGGCTCTGCTAAGCCACCCACCCTCTGTTTCTTTGTTTTTCTGTTTTTTGTTTTTGTTTTGGTGCCTAGATGAGATGTGGGCCCCTGGCCTCCTTGGTGGAATCATGGCAGAGCCCAGCAGTCCAGTCCTTCCCACCAAGGCCCACAGCTGGAGCCCGGCAGGCCTCCTGGAAAACCCGGCCTCATCCTCCCAGACCTGCCACCTCTCCTGGGAAGCCTGGTCCCGCACAGCCCTGCAGCCCCAGTCTGCTCTGCGATCACGGGGCACCGAGGCAGCCTTTGCATGACCCGTCCCCTGGGCGTCTGGGGGCTCCGCCAGGGCAGTAACTAGGCAAATTATAAGAGTCCAGCTCATGTTTGGCAGGTGAGAACAGTGAATGAAAGAATGTCTGTAGGTCATGCCCTGGGCTGGTCCTAAATGGTTACCTGTGAAGTGGGCAAGGGGTGGTGAGAGCACAGGGTGGGGTTCATCCAGAAAAGGAGGGGGCTCTGTGCTGCTCCTCAAGGGGCTGGTTTTGCTAGGGTTCGGGAGCTCCTCCCGTGGCCCCTCCAGAGCCGGCTCCTGTGGGTGAAGAGCCTCTGGACAGGGAGCTGCAGCAGTGAGGGCTGCGGGGC